ATCCTCCAAATATTGTATTCTGTGCTCCAAAATCTTGAAAGAAGAGGATTAAAATGAATACCTGCACTTTTAAGAGAGGAATCATTCTATTTATTCTTTATGCATTTTATATTTTAGCACCCCCAAAAAAAATCCCTGATAATTATCAGTAAAGAAAAGCAAAAGATTGCATTTGAAACCAAAGAAAAAGATGTACCTCTGAGTTTATACAAGGCTAATTGATCTGAAAGACTCAGAAAAGTTGACTTTTCCATTATTAGCTTTTACAATTCAGTAATTCAAAGCTTCAATCTCCATAGACTATACAAGAATACAAGACCATTTTTGTAAATCTGCACGGCAACAGACATGAAAGAGTATTCTTTCTTTTGGTCAGAGATTCAGATTTTGAAAGACTTTAAAGTTGTTTTAAAGTTTTCCTTTTTTTTAAAAAAAAAGCCAATTTTCCCCTTATTTTGTTGGTCTTGCAAGTACAGTAAGTATAGAAACAATTATTCTAATCCGACCTTTCAGCAAGAGAATAACCAAATGGAAGATAACTTTGTGAACATGAAAAGAAATTAATTGGCTAAACATCATTTCTTAAATGGGGAGGAAAAGCATACATACAGATCTTTTATGAAGGAAACCATTATAAATGATTTATGCCACCAGAGTTTTTTTCCTGCCAATTCTATTTCCTAGGATGACAAAACACATCCATATTTATAAATTAGTTGAACACAAAAACCTCAAACAATATTTTGGTCTTATTCAACTATAAGCTCAATGATATCAGTGGCCATACCATATCTAACCTTTGTATTGTTGTATTTGGACATTTGGCTTGACTTTCCCTTGGAAAAACTCAGATGAAATGAGAAGGAAAAGATTCACTTGGGACCTAAAAAGAGAGATGATCAAGAGGGTCCATAGAATCAAAGAATCTCAGAGTTGGAATGAACTTTGGAGATACTTTACTCCAAACTGTACCTGATTCAGATAGCACCCACTAGCCAAAATCCAGGACAATCACTCTTTCACCCTTTACTTAAATATCCCCATTCATTTGGAGTGCATCAACTCCCAAAACAGCTCACTTCAGTTTGCATGGCTCTGGTTGTGATACAGTCTTGTATTATTTTGTTTTGTTTTGTTTGGGTTTGTTCAATGGAGAACCAAAATTTGCTTTTCAATAGCCTTTGCAACTAGTTCTGCCCTCTGAAGCCAAACAGAACTAATCTCATCCTTTTTACATGTGAAATAGCATATCAAAAAGCTTTAGACCCTCTCAAATCTTCTCATCTCCAGGCTAAATATTCCTAATTCCTATCATTGTTCCCCCTTTGGCATGGTTTCAAGTTCATCAGCATCCTGGTATCTAGCTTTGCTATTTCCTAAAATGTAGTATCTGGAATATTTTTTATGTCATCTGGAAAGAGCCATTATTATGCTCAACATGAGGCTTCTAATAGTAGTCTAAGTCATTGCTTCACCTATCATTTCACACTGCTGACTTCATGCCAAGACCACAGATCACAATTGTCTGCCTCCTCATATCATATCATAGGATCATAGAATCATAGATTTAGAGCTAAAAAGGAGCTTAGAGAGATACTCTAGTCCAAACTTCTCACTTTAGAAATAAGGAAACTGGGACCCAGAAGTGATAAAGTGACTTGCCTAAGGTATAGTAGCTGGTAAATGGCAAACCCAGGACTTGAACTCAGGTCCTATCAATCAAAATACATCCTTCTTGTCTACTGTACAACCCTGCCTTTATCTTCTCCCATGGACTGTCCAGCCTCAACTCCCTATTAACTACAACAATAAACATTTATTAATTTCTCACTCTGTGAAGAGAACCATTCTTGATCAACTAACCTTTTCCTACATCAAATATGGGACTTAAGATAGCTATATATTAATTTTCAACCTATTAGATATGATCCATCAAAGTACTTTGTCAAGAATTTTTTTAACTTTTTAAATTTTTTTAGCTTTCAGTTTCCAGGTTTATTTCCAATGTGTTAACTTCTTTGATTTGCATATTCAATATGCATGTCATCTATGTCTTCATCAATCATCAATAACATCTTTTGATAAGAATTAGGCTGCCCAAGCAAAGTGTTTTGTATGTATTAGATACTTAAGAATGTTTGCTTGAATTTGCAAAGTTTTGTATTTTGCAAGATTTATAGCCATGACCTATAAATCATTTACTATTAGTTATCATTCAGAGAGTTGAATCATAGCAAAACTGGAAATAATTGCATAGAACTAATTGCTTTACATTTTCTTATTATTTTATTGAAAATAACATAATAAACAAGAGGATCAGTAGACTTGTATTTCAACACTAACCAAGGCCAACTCTATAACTTGACACAACTAGGGATCTAACACTAAGACAAATATATCATTATTTAGATATCCCTCTAACCTGTACTATTACCCCACTTACATTTTCCTTAATTCAGTCTAATGGAACATATCTGAACAGTTATCAAATTTTCATAAATAATAAAATATAGTTTATTTTTAAACAATCTTGGGAAAAATTCAAAACCAATTTTTTCCTGACATTTTTCCCTTCCCCCCTTCAGGATTTGCACCATCATCAGTCATCAAATCACATTTTGGAAGCTTGGAGGAGCAATTTAAGTGCACAGTATATGCAGCCTATTTGGGGCATGTTAAAGGGCTGGAATCACAGAACATATGTGACTTATTTTTTAAGGAAACCTATAGCATAATTTCACGAGGCTCCAAAAGTATCACACCATCCGTGCTGTTAATCATGGGCGTTTACTCATTGGCAAAGGTTTCATACATTCTGTCTCCAAAGGACTACACAATTTTCAAAAGGCTTTTATGAAAAGTAGTATATCCAATTTTTTTTTTTGCCTATAAGACAAGATCAGGTATATTTCTTAAAAATAATATGAAAAATAACACCATGAGAGTTACCTTCAAAGAGATTTTCTGCATAAATGCCACATAATTCCAAGGGTACCATAGGCTATTAGTAGGATTATGAAATCAAATTATGTAAAAATATAATTATTTATATAGTGAGAAACTTTGACATAAAGTCACATCTAAAATATAGACTATGTAATAACCTCTTGTTTCTAAATTCAATGTAACAGCACCACAGAAACAAGAGGAATGAATATAGGAATGGAGACTGGGAGTGTGATTTCATCGGCATACTGAATTCCTGGATTAGGAAGCTCCCTCTTCTATTGTACATAGGTACCTTTCCTATGATATATAGTCTTACAGAGTTGTCCAGTATGACAGACTGTACTTTGCCCGGGATCACACTGCCAGTATTGGTCAAAGTTGAATCCAACCAACTCTAAGGTTAGCTCTCGCTCTGCTTTGCTACACTCTCTTTATTAAGGAGTCTAACGTGCATATTTTACTCATATTGAATTATAATTATGCTTTTCCATAAAAAATTAAGTTCATCATAATTTGTGCAAAATAACCAGAGAGTTTTAGTGTTTTCTTCCTCCTAATATAACACAATTTTGAAATATGAGACAACACAATTTTGAAAGTCTGTTCTAAGTCTAAATAATTGTTTTAAAAATTAGAATTCAATGTTCTGAATGTTCAGAATATTTCTAGGATTTCTCTTAATAGTCATAAAATCACAGAATCTCAGAGTTAGGACTTGAAAGCTAAACCATACAGAGCAGAATAAAAATATTTTGAAAGCATCTCTGAAAAGACACTCAACACTTCTTAATTCTTGTCTCACGTGAGTGAAAAATGAGAAAAAATGTAGTGATAGTACATACACCTGTCTGTGATTTATCATATGTTCAAAGTAGCTGGACCCAAATAAATCTATTGTTTCCATAAAAAAAAGAATTGGAAAAATACTGATGTTCCTGTCATTTTTGCTGAACAAATATTAATGTTGAATAGGCCTCTGAAACATTTAAATCACATGCTTTATGAAGCAGGCAATGAATGATATTGTGTATATCTAAATTGTGGGTAACAACTCAAAATGAATGGGCATTCACTTAAGAATGGGATGTCTCCCATGACTTGGGCATTGCTCAGTGCTAACAGTCTAAGAATTTGATTAAACCAAGTAATGCTGTAATTAACTGCTGTGTATTGAAACCTTCTGTGACTTTTTTAAGCAAAGAAAATCATGCTGGTAGGAGCTAAGGGTAAAACAAAAAAATCACAGTAATGGAAACTGAAATCCCTGATCTAGCCAGAGGCATAAAAACTGAAGCAGCATTCTTAATCAAGTCCCTGTCCCTCTGGTGACCTCTGCACGAATTCTTTTTACTTGAACCTACCATTATCAACCTATTATAATGATGCATAAACATACCGTAATTTTATTTCTTTACAGAATACCCTACCCCTTTACCTTCCTCATATCAAATAAAGAAGGTCTCTTTATCTGGCTACCAAACTCCCTTTTCACCTAAAGTTCAAACTGAACCTTAACTGGATTCTCTTTCTCATCAAATTTTTCCTCTTGCAAATATGGTAGCTCCTAAAAAGTCACTAATAGCTAAAAAACTTTAATTCACAATGTGTTTTCTATCAGTCCTTCTGTTTTCATTTCCACTAATGACTCCGTATTTTGGCCCTTAATATCCCACACCTGAACAATTGCAGTAACATCTTGACTGTTCTCCCTGACTTTTATTCTCTCTCTCTCTCCAAGACATTCTGTGCATTGACAACAGAAAACATCATTCTAATCACAATACCCTTCAGTTTAAAAATACCAAATACACATTAATTTCTTTAGCTGGTCATTCAAGACTATTCACAGTTTCTTCATCATATATCTTTTCAGCCAATTTGGACTACTATTCTAAAAAGAAATACGGAATTTCCCTCAACAAATGTTTGTTGTATGAGTAAGCAACAAAGAAAAGACTACTTCTAAGAGCAACAGAATGTTATCCAACAAATTAAATTCTTTCAACAAATATTAAACACTGAAAATGCAAAGATAAAAGCAAGAAACTTACATAGTGTTTATATTTTTGCCACTACCAGGTCACTTATCTATTTTCAAAGTGCAGGTTGATTTCAACCTAGAAGAAAAGGTAAACAGGTTATTAGAGTACCTCTCCATTCTCCACACTGTCAGAGAGAAAGAAATGTTTCTTTTAAAGTCTTCCATTTTAGAACCCGTAGTTCATGGTTCTATGATAACTCATGAGGAGGTCTCCAAGAGACTCCAGGGAGCAAGTGGTCCTGTGCTATTTAATATTGGGTAAAGCTAAGAAGACACATTCGTTAAATTTGTCAATGACACAAAACTAGAATTAGGTAGAACACTGGACAAAAGTCAGAATCCAAAAAGATGGTGATAAACTATGAAATTGGGCTAAATATAAACTGATCAAATGTAATCAATCAAAAGTGGTCAAAGGATAGGACAGACATTTCTCATAAAAATGGTAAATTATTAATAACCACATGAAACCTTGGCTTTTGGAAATGTATTTCATAATTGTCCAATAAATACACGTATGGAAAGAATGCACAGTTCATCTGAAAAAAGGCAATTTGGGGAGTGACTAGCTGACTAAAAGATTGTGTTTGAGAAGAGGGTTCGACTTTCTGAACCTTGGATTAAAATACATGAGTATCAGATCATTTTCCTGGCTGTGGATGGATCATACCTAGCATGGGCTGGTAATTTTACCAGAGGGGTTCTACATTGAAATAGAAAAATGAAATAACTGCCTGCCTATCTACCACGATAGATACCATTGGAAGCAATTATAATAGAGGGAGGAGAGCAGTAGAAATGCCTAGAAATTGATGAGACTGAACAAAAGATAGGAGCCAACATGGAAACCCATGGCCTAAGATGTCTTTATAAAATATACAAAGTGTGGGTAACAAACTAGATGCACAGAATAATGCATAGAAGAAAGCGTGATCTTAAAGCCATCACCAAGACTAGATTTCATAGAATGAGACCGACGACTGAAATATAGTTTTAGAAGAATACAATGTATTCGAAAGGAACAGAATAGGTAAAAGGAGTACTACTATATTTGACAAAAAAAAAATTACTGATATGAGGAAGTCCATAACCTGGAGAAAAAATTGTGCGGAGCATTTGCATGAAGATCAACAGAGGCAGAAAGAGAAGCAATATTGGCATTGAAGTGAATCATAGATCATCTGGTGGATGATGAAGAGCTAGGCTAGGCTAAACTTCATTCAAGCCTTCATCACTTTCTACCTGGACTCTTGCAATGACTTCTCATTGGTCTACCTTCCTCAAATATCTTCCCACACCAATTATATACTCAGCTGACAAAGTGATTTTCTCAAACAAAAGTCTCACCACGCCATTTTCTGACTTCAATGAGCTGCAATTTTCTATCTGCCCTAAGATCAACTATACTTCCTCTGGTATTTAAAGTTCTTCATCAAATGGCCTCTTCCTACCTTTCCACCCTTCTCACACTTGATTCTCCTCCATGTGCTCTATGTTCCAATCACACTCGTAGTTCCTCAAACATGACATTCCATGTCTTTTTATTTAAAGTTTTGCTGACGTCTTTTATCTTATAGACATTTCCAGATTACCCTTCACTCGGCAAATGCTCTCCTGTAACAAATAAAACAATTAAGCAAAACTAACAATATGATGACCTCATCTGAAAAAGCATGCAACAGTCCACACCTGTGGCAAATCTCACCAAACATTCTCTTTTTAAACTGCTTTTAATTAACAATTTTTTTTAACTAACAGCAATTTTTAATTAACAAAATTTTCTCTCCCTACCAACCCTCACTCCATCAAAAAAGAAAAAAATCCTAAACAACAAATATACATAGTGAAGCAAAACTAATTCCTTAATTGCCTACATAATTTTGCATCCTAAATCCATCATCTTTTGTCAAGAGGTAGATTTCATCATCAGTCCTCTGGAAACATAGGCCGATATGGTATTGCTCATAGTTCTTACAGATTTCAAAGCCATCTTTATAATGTGGTTATTATTATATAAATTGTTCTCCTGATTCTGCTCATTTCATTTATCATCAGTTTGTAAAGTCTTCAGAAATGTTCATTTTAGTAATATTGTTATTGTTGTAAAAATTCGTCTCTACCTCTGATTACTTCACTCCATTTCCCTACCTTTGCACTGGCTGTTCCCCATTCCTGAAATGCTCTGCCCCGCACTTTCACTTTACTTTTCCTAGTTTTCTTCAAGATGTAGCTCAAACTTTACCTTCTGCTGGAGGTCTTTTCGCCTTCTTCCCAGTTTCTAGTACTTTCTACTTTCCATCTCTATCTGTCTCTCTCTCTGTCTCTCTCTTTTTCTCTCTCTCACACACACATGCATACGTGTGTGATAGAAATATGCATGTATATTTGTATGATATGTATATTATATATTTACGTATATATTTCATTTGAATGGAGAAGGCAATACACAAAACCTAAATAAATACTACATAATGTGTGTATCTGTGTGTATTTATATATATATATATGTGTGTGTGTATACATGTATGTCTGTATATATGTATGTATATTTGTATATGTATATGTGTAGTTAGATAAATAGATAGTATTTACCTAGATTTTTTCATTCTGTCTCCTCCATTTGAATATAAGCACCTTTAGGGCAAGGACTATCTTTTGCCTTTTTTTGTATCTTCAATGCTTAGTACAATGCTTGGCATACTAAGCACTAAATGCTTGCTCTTTCTCAAAGACTAAGCCTTAAATCCAATTAACTCTGGATCTCATAGATTGGACAATAATAGATCCCTGCCCCAGCAGCACTTAATTGTTATTTTTTGGGCCTTCCTGGCTCAGAGTGAATGTAAATAGTAACTGTTTCTCTTTTGACCAGTAACCCTCAGGGTCTTCACTTCCCAATTTATTTTTTTTTTATTAAAGGGGCCATCCCTTGACTCACTTCTTAAAGTGGCCTTTTCACTGAATGGGCATTACCTCACTCAAAGACCTTAGCTTAAAAGGGCCAGGGCCTCCCATTGCATCCTGAGCTATCTCCAGTCCTCCTGATGAATATCTGGCAGCTGGACCTAGATGGCTCTGGAGGAGAAAGTGAGGCTGGTGACCTTGCACAGCCTTCTCTCACTCAAATCAAAGTCAGTTGCAAGTCATATCATCATCTCCCTGATATCATGATCCTCTTCAAGAACGAAGGACAAACACAACGACCTGAGTTTGAATCCTGTTAAACTGAGAGCTATGTGACTCTGAACAAGTCATCTAACATCTCTGTGCTTCAGTTCCTCTTCTGTACAATTAGGGGGTTGAATTTTCTGGGGCTCTAAGTTCTCTTCCAAACTCTAAATCTCTGATCCATCAACCTGGGCAGAAGAAATACAGAGCCAAGGAGTTTGAGAAACAGAAAACAAGCCAATCACAGAAGAATGATCTAGTCATGATCAGAGACTGAAACTATCCTGAAATTTAATGGAGCTCTTTTTCTGCCCAAGGTAAACCAACTTAGGGGTAATTCTTTCTTTCAAGAAATAATTTCTTCCAACTCACAAACAGGAATATATTCTAGATCTGATTCTCACCAACAAGGAGGAACTTATTACTGGGAAGGACATAATGGAAACCTTCGGTGAAAGTCATTACTCCTTCTTAGAATATATGAAAAAGAAAGAAAGAAGAAAAGCTAAGAGAAATCTGAAATGACTCTAGATCTTTGGAGAATAAATGTCAAAGGATTCAGAGAAAGGATAGGTCAGGTTCCACAGGCCTAAAATATCACAGGGGAAGAACATTCCAAAGGCTCTCAAGAACGAAATTCTAAAGACGTAATAAAGAAACAATCTTGAGTATGAGATAAAAGAAGATTTGTCTAATGAGATCTGCGTAGATGCACAGAGAGCTCACTGACTGACTCAAATTTTAAAAAGGCATGTACAAAATCTGGAAGCAAGGATAGCTAATGGAGGATCAACACTTCATGTCACTCTAATATGGAAATGTTTTACCTGATTGCACATGTAAAATATCAGACTACTTACTGTTGCAGGGATCGGGATGGAGAGGGAAGAAGGGATAAGATTTGGAACTCAACACTTTAAAAAAAAAAGTTGGGGCAGCTAGATGATGCAGTAGATAAAGTTCCGGCCTTAGAGTCAGGAGGACCTGAGTTCAAATCCAGTCTCAGACACTTGACACTTACTAGCTGTGTGACCCTGGGCAAGTCACTTAACCTCAATTGCCTCACCAAAAAAAAAAAGTTAAAAATTGTTTTTAAACGTAATTGGAGAAAATATAATATTAAAGAAAAAATACTTTATATTACTATCCTATAAAAATAATTTCAGGAATGTCAAATCTAACAATGAGCTAAGGCTAGAAAGGAAAATAAAGGGATACTTTTAATATATTTAAAGGAAAAGTAAGATTAATGGAACTATATGACTACTACTTACGGTGGATGAGAAATCAGCGAGTAAAAGTGAAAAGGCAGAGCTGCTCAATTTTGATTTTGCTTCTATTTTCTTTGCTAGCGAGAATGACATTTGGCCTGGAAAATGCAGCATCAAAACAGTTAAGAGACAGTTGATACCCAAGATAAAGAGGAAGATACAAAAGGGCTTCTAGCTGCCCTTGATGAACTCAAGTCACTACATCCACAACATAGGTTATTCAAAGAACTTGCAACCATAATTGCTGAATTACTGAAAGATCCTGAAGAATACATAATCATTTCAGTTATTCTTCTTTGTATTTTAAGATGTTTCAGCTTATTGATGATTCTTAAGTTTGCAATAAAAAATGGAAAGATGTATCATAGGATTGTAGAAAGGGAAGTATTTTCCCAGTTTTCAAAAAGGTAAAGGAAATGAAGTCTACTACTTATAGGTCAATGAGATTTGCTTTGGTTCTTGGCAAAATTCTGGAAAATATCATTAAAGACAGAAGTTATGAACATCTGAAAAAGGAACCAATGGACAGTAAAATCTAGCATAGTTTCATAAAGAACCAGTCATACCAACAAACCTGGGAAGACTTTTATGAACTGATACACAATGTAATGAGATAATTTTACACAATAACAATATT